CCGTGTACTCTCCGAGCTGGAGACCATGGTGGAAGGGTCGAGGGAGGGCGGGGACTCGTGAGGACTGGGCACTCCCCGAGGTAGAGACCGTGAAGGGAGGGGGGGTGGGAGAGGACGGGGACTCGTGAGGACTGGGTACTCTCCGAGCTGGAGACCATGGCGAAAGGGTCGAGGGTGGGCGGGGACTCGTGAGGACTGGGTACTCTCCTAGGTGGAGACCGTGATGGAGGGGGGGGGGGGGGCGGGAGAGGACGGGGACTCGTGAGGGCTGTGTACTCTCCTAGGTGGAGACCGTGATGGAGGGGGGGGGGGGGGCGGGAGAGGACGGGGACTCGTGAGGGCTGGGTACTCTCCTAGGTGGAGACCGTGATGGAGGGGGGGGGGGGGGGCGGGAGAGGACGGGGACTCGTGAGGGCTGTGTACTCTCCTAGGTGGAGACCGTGATGGAGGAAGGGGGGGGGGGGGCGGGAGAGGACGGGGACTCGTGAGGACTGGATACTCTCCTAGGTGGAGACCATGATGAGAGGGTCGGGGGATGGCCGAGTCCGGTGAAGACTGCGCTGGTGGGGTACGATCGGTCACGTGGCGGTGTCATTGTAACTTTTTGCACAATAGCATTATAAGACAAAGACCTAACTTGGTACCAAACCTAGCATGGACGAAAGATGGGACAGACGGGGGTGAAAAATGTTTTTCCGTCGTCGGGTCGATCAAAACAATCCAGAAAGTGAACCATGGAAGCATTTATATGTCATCATTTACAGTTTGATAGTTGTTAATCTGAGTATGTTTCTACGTGTTCATATAACCGTATGTGTTATATGGCTCAATGTATGTTATATGATGGTATGTGTGATGCATGATTCATGTTTGATAAATAATTCGTGTGTTCTATGACGATATGTGTCATATGTTGATGCATGTGCCATGGGTCATTTATGCATGTTACATATGTGCTATTATTACATCGTCTAAAGTCATGCAGAGACCCTCCGCATAATAGCCAAGAGACCCCCGGCATAATCGGTTTTGCTCCTGCTCATCCAATTATTAGTGTGTTTCAGATTTGGTACCAAATTAGGTTCCCAACTACCAATGTTTGGGTGAATGTTATTCTGAGAGATGTATGCTAAGTATGTATGTTAAGAGAGAACAGTCCAGTGAAAGGGGATTCGCTTCAATGACCACCAGCGGCCATAGGTGCATGTGATGCGGCCATAGTTGCATTGAAATACACTGGTATGCGTGGAAATTGCGACTTCCAGATTCGGAAATGAATGTCCCTAAAGGTATGCGACCGTTCTTTGCTTCCGTGCCCCTCCACCTGCATCCCTGGGCTTTCAGTAGATAAGTTGTCATCTTGCGGCAGCTAAGTTTTGCCCGTTGGAGTACGCATACGACCTCCTTCACTTTTAAGTCTTCTCCTCTCCCTGGACTATTTCGTCGAAGCGGCGGATGAGGGACTCGAGAGCGGGGGTGTGGACGGCGTACCGATAACAGCGGTGTGCCGATGCTACCGTGGAATCGGTCCGCGTCTCCTGCAGATCAGCAACTGCTCCATCACAGCCCGGATATTTCCCGACCAGGGGAAAATTGCGTCCCATCCTTAAATCGGGTCACCTAACTGCACCAGTTAACACTAGGCACATATCTCTATTCAGAGTGCTATTAAAAACTATGTAAAAAGACGCTTACAGCCAGGTGAGTGCGTGTCTCTGAAGCAATGGTGTTATTTACCTTGCTCGACATGCCTAAGGGCAAGGCCACTGTACCGAGGAAGCTCTGCCGCCGTTGGAGGGCTGGTGAGGAACGACAGCGACAGCTTTCGACAGTGTTGATCACGGTTTGCTTACAACAAAACTGCAGTGTACGGCGTGGACCCTGGCTATTGGTCAGGTCCAAAGGCTATTTGAGTGGTCGGAGACAGGTGGTGCGTGGAGGGCTGACGACCCTGCCGGCAGCCCACGTAGCGCACAGGGTCCACAGCCGCTCCGTTGTTGCTCACCTTGTTCACAAACGACTTGCCCATCTCTCCATCACATGGACGCCTCATCTCATATGCGTATGGCACTCAGCTGCTGGACCACGCTCCTCCCAACAAGAAGACCCCCGGAGCACTAGAACACCGTCCGGAAATATCAATTTACGAACTTCAGGCTTGGTTCAGCGTAAACTCACTGAAAATTGCAAGGACATAAGCGACTTTGTTCTTAAACGTTTTTTTTATAAATTTGATCCGAGCCCTTTTGAACGGATGGATTTCTGGGATCAGCGCTCACGCCAAGCAGTGCTTGTTGTGTGAGCCCTGGCCCCTTCCATCCGATCGCGCAATCCCACGCAACGGCAGAATCTAGTGTCGAAAGCTTAATGTGCCGCAATGCTCGGCACGGTCCGTCCTGCCCTTCTGACGTCAACTGACCTTTAACGCGACCGCTGCCACCAGCCGCATGCCATACCTACCAAGGGCAAATAGCGAACGCTCTAAAGCGACTCGAACCCACCCTGCCACGGGTGGGTGGATCGGAAGGCGAGCGCTCCAACCAACTGAGCCAACGGGACGGGCAACTGGCATGTTCAAAACAAATTTCAAAAGAAACCTGCGATTTTCACTGGACGATAGATGGAAAGGCCAGCTCACCTTTACGGCACCTTACTTTTTCGGAGTGATCGTAAACTCGACGCTTTTGTGGAAAAGGCATGTCGGCAAAGTCGTGAAAAATTCAATGGAATTCTAACCTCGCTGTGCCACCTCAGGAATTACTTTACACATGATGTTCTTAAAGTTGTCATCGAAGGCTATGGGATTCCATTCACATCTTACCCATTATGCGTATGGGGTAGTGTGATCAAGCGTCAGATGCCGAGGAATCGAAAAGCTGTAAATTATGCCGCCAGGATTGTCTCTGGCGTGAAACGCAGCCAGCATAAATACAGACTTAACGATATTTGTGCCGATATTTATTTGTTTATTGTTATAGGGGCTTGCTTGTGCCGGCTCGGGATTGATGACTTGTTGAAGGAGAGGCACGTGCTGAAAATTTGTTGAAACCCCTAGCATGAAAAGACTCGCCACGGATACTCAATATCATTTCAAGCCACGTTCCTCTGTTTCAGTAACAGACGCGCTCCTCCATGTCAATGTCTCTCCACTTGCCCGGGTGCCGACTGGAAGCCACCAAGCTAACCTTTCTTTGTCGTGCCGCGGCAACTTGGAGCCGCCTGCCTCTGACGACCATTGCGTCTTCATCTCTGACTTCTTAGTGGTTAAATAATTGCATTTCAAAACGAAGATCTTAGGTCATGCGCCTTATTTCTACGCACATGTTAATTACTTGTGTGATTGTATGTCATATGTATGTGTGTATGTGATGTTTGCAAGTCAATGCAGGTCCCATGTACTCACAATTAGTTTCATTCATGTTTGTGTGTACCCTGGATTTGGCACATTTTGTTATCAATCTCGAACAAATTTCGGGTTCGTAGTTTGACTTCGTACGCATTTTATGATATCTCATTTCATCGTATTGTATTTTATCGCGTCACATTTTACAGTGTCATATAGCTAGTCCAGTTTGCCTAGTTCGTAATATCGTATTTTTTTTCGTACATTTTGTAGCATCGTGCTTCAACGTATTTCTTTAGCACGTTGTCACGAGTGAGTGTGGGGTGTAACGAACCAGAGCTAGCGAGCGTTGCAGCGAGCCGAGTACCTGAAAAGCCACCTCTCGATGATTCTCGAGCAAGCAAGTGCAAACACAGTTACTTAATTGGTCCTCCGTCTCCAGCGCCTGGCAAACCACCGTGTTTTCTGACCTCGTCTGCCAGGCCTCGGCTCGCACCAGGCGCCGTCTCCCCTGCATCTGGTGAGCCATCAGCCCTGACGGCCAGCACCTGGTGAGCGATCAGCCCCTGACGGCCAGCACCTGGTGAGCGATCAGCCCTGTCGGCCAGCAGCTGATGAGCGATCAGCCCCGAGGGCCAGCAACTGATGAGCGATCAGCCCTGAGGGCCAGCACCTTGTGAGCGATCAGCCCCTGACGGCCAGCACCTGGTGAGCGATGAGCCCCTAAAGACCAGCAGTGCCGGCTAACGGACACCGCGGCACCCGGCGGCGGCACCGTACACGATGCCGTCGTTAGCCAGAGCTGACGCTAACGACGCCCGGCCGAGAAACCTTGTCGCGCCGCCGTCGGCCTGGCGCACTTAGCCAATATCCGGCGGGCGCGCCCGTTTCCGGGCGGCGCCCGTCACCCCACGGGCGGCCGGCTGGCCCTGGGGCAGGCACCACCCCCGGGCGGGGCCCCAGCCCACCGGCGCCAGGCCGCGGCTCCGCTGGACGGTCGCCAGCCGGACCAGCGCGCCACATTATGCGTCATTATCGCGGGGGCAGGTTTTGTCGCTGATCAATGCGCGCCCTGCGGAGAATAGATAATTCGCTGCCGAGGCAAGCGCGCGACAGCCACGGCCAATCTGTAGGTGGGATTTCATTTGGCGCGCTTGTTAGGGCGTCTGACGCGCTCTGTCGGTCTGGCGGCAGAGGCGGGATGCCGCTCTGAGCCAGCGGCGGAGGGCCTGAGGTGATTGGGGTGGACAGTGGAAGACGCCGCCGCCCGCTGAGCGAGTTGGCCAGGCTTTAACGAGCAAAGTTGAGCCGTTCCAGCCCGTTCCATACCCAGAGAAGTTTAGCCGCCCAAACGGAGTGTATTCTTGGAATGAGCGTGGAAAATATGCTAGCGTCTCGCTGGAGAGCAACGAACAACGCTCTGAGCCATCATAACGAGCGAAGTTTGCATCGGAGTGCTGCTTCACTTGATCAGGTCTGGAACGCGAGCATATTGCTCACTTGGAACTAATCGCGTGGCAATAAAATCGCGCCTACTAAGTTGATCTAGATCCAGCTTTTGTTTTAAAAAAGGAATTCATCCGCAGCGCGACCGGTTGTTTATACTCGCCAAGGCTGAAGTGCGGGCTCTTAAAACGTCTCGTTCGCACGACCAGGTTCTATCCCTTTAGACACTTTAGATGCTTTAGAGAGCTTGTCACAATTCAACCTTCATCGCTACACGCAGCAACATAAGCTATGGTGGCTTTTTCCCAGACGTTTGCAGTGAATTTCATCACGTTTGGTTACGACAGCGTTTTTCAATACTGACCTTTTGGTGGGATTCAACCTCAATTGTATCATGTATTGTGTCAATTGCATCAATTGTAGCACGCGCTACGTTGTCCACAGTCCTAAATGGCCCCTTCGCTTATTAGTTTTGCTCCTCGATTCCTCCTCATGCGTGGGTCACGTGCCAGTCCTCATGTAGCAAACATGCATGGAGAAACTCAAACAGCATCTCAACCGCGCGAGAAGCTGCTGCAGAAGAGAACTGCATAAGCGGCTACATCGTCAATTCACATTTGCACACTTCGAGTGACATTCCAGGCCATGGCACATGGCATCCATAATTCAGCAGAGCCTCGCCGGGCGAAGCGACACGCCGCGCCGCCGCGCCGCCGCCGCTGCCAGAGTGCTCGGGCCGGTCCAGGCCGGGACGGGCGGACGCTCAGTCGCGGCCGAAGGCGCGCTGCCGGATCCAGTCCACGTACATGGCCACCCTCGTGTACACGCCCGGAAAGGTCGGATGTCCGCAGCCGACGCCCGTCGACACGATGCCCACCAGCTGAACTCGACCGGACGCCGGGTCACGGAAGGTCATGGGTCCGCCGGAGTCGCCCTGCAACCAGGGCGGCCGGGTCAGACGCTGCCGGGGAATGCGGAGGGCGATATGAAGGGAAAGAGGGAAGGGAGAGTGAGGGAGATAAACAGCGAGGGTAAAAACGAGAGAAAAAGAACACACAGAGAGAGATTTGTAGCTATAATGTATATATATATATATATATATATATATATATATATATATATATATATATAGGTAAAAAGGGAGGGAGAGTGGGAGAGAGAAAGAGAGAGAGAGAGAGAGAGAGAGAGAGAGAGAGAGAGAGAGAGAGAGAGAGAGAGAGAGAGAGAGAGGAGACGAGAGAGCGAGAGAGAGAGAGAGAGAGAGAGAGAGAGAGAGAGAGAGAGAGAGAGAGAGAGAGAGAGAGAGAGAGAGAGAGAGAGGCCGTGGTCGGATGTCCGCTAAGTCGTCCGTCATGTCGGCACATCCGACCGCTAGGATACTCGATCTTTGCCGATCCATGGCGGCGTCTGGCAGCTCCGAAGACAAAATGTATGCACATAAATGCATGAAGTACAATTTCTGGAAAGTTGATGGTTTTCTTTTTTCAAAGTCACTTTACACGGACAAAATTTAGCACTTAGTAAGGCGGCGACAGCTGTTTGTGGGTGCATGAGAAATGGCACAGTCCAAGCAATGCGACCAGCAGTCGGCCGTCCAGCAGGTACCGCAATTACGAAGCCACTGCTGAGCCCAGCAAGATTCCCACCCCGCTCCAAACCTGGCAAGAGTCCCTGCCGTGGCCCGTTGTGTCGTGGGCGCAGATCTTGGTGTCGCCGAACCCTGGGGCGAAGTCCTGCTGGAAGTTGTTGCCCAGCGTCCTGTAGTGAGCTTCGCAAGTAGCCGTATCGACCAGCGGCAGACGCACTTCCTGCAGAACGGCCGACGACTCGCCGCCTGCAAAACAGTAGTCCTGCGCTGCCAGCGTTGTCAAAACACCATTGTCTGTGTTCGAGATTGTGGAAGTTTTCGCGTCAGGTGCAACCAACATGGATGAAGTGATAGGACAGCAGCGTGCTGTATGAGGTAATAGTTGTTGCATAAGACGAGATGATATCAGGATAATAGATGATAGCTGGGTTATCTAACGACGCATTCAACGTTTTCGCTTATTTAGCGGCAACATGTCTCACGCCGCTCGCCGCTGGCGCTGTGCCGCATGGGAAGCACGGCTCATTGAGTATCGGGCTTTCCGTGCCATTCATCATGCATATGAGCCTCGAGATAGACGATGAAAATGAACGAGTTATCTGGTGAGCCGCAGTCTGGGTGAATCGTAAAGCCGATCAGAGCTGAAACCGTTTAGCTTGGAGCGGGCTGTCGGTTCCTGTATTTATGGCTAAGGCCAGCCATAAAATGAATTACGAGTGGTTTAAGGCGCAGGGCACGTCGCGGTAATATAATTCGGATTGGGTCGTTCGGGTGCAATCAGCTGAAGTCTGGCCTAGTTTACTTCGAGAGTCAAAGTCCATTGTGCGGATGTTTTGAAACCTGTGCCGTGCCGTAGATGCACTGCGACCAAATGCATGCAAGCGAAAGCAAATAAATCCCGAGCAAACATTGAAATGAACTTGATTTGGGAAAAGCCAAACATTCTTCAGGAAAACACGGAGCGGCAAAACACGGCGACGAGCTGAAAACTGGGACCTCCATCTCACCGTACAGGACTTGTGGCGCCAGTTCCGATCAACCGAGCACAGTCTGGCTGTGATCATGTGACGCGGCCTCCGCACCGCAGTGTCGGCCACTCACCGAAGTCGGTGTGGCCCCAGCCGGCCAGGGACGTCCACTGGCCGGTGAGGTTGACCCCGGCTGGCGGCAGGCACACGGGCCTCACGAGCGGCCCCAGTCGCGCCGCAGTGCTCAGGCGCAGCAGCGCCAGGTCGTTGTGCTTGCGGTAGTGCTCGTACGCCGGATGCAGGTAGATGCGATCCACCAGCAGATCCTGGTGCGCCGCGTCCGTGTCGTAGTGCAGGTCAAAGTCGCCAACGCGCACCAGCAGGCGGTTCCTGGCGGGAGGGTACGCGCCGGCCGTGATCGCCAGTCGCTGCTGGGCTCGGCTCCTGCGTGTGCAAAGGCAGGGTCTCGGGATGGTCTCCGGGGTCAGGTGACCGGCCATACGTCACCTCCTACTGTGTCAACAGGTCATCCCCGGCCCGTAACAATCTGTGTGTTCTGTGTGTTCGTCTTTAGGCCAGCGAATGTGCCTATGCTATGATGGCACAAACGAAGATAGCCAGATCACTGTGCACTGCGCAAGGGCAGAGAGAAGTTCCTTGTTGTGCGCTTTGGCACGTACGAGCCGCGCTTTCATGCTCGACACGCCCGAAACAAGGTCAGGTGCCCTTCTGACGACGGGCAGGGCCTGCAGGTCCCCAATTTAATACACACCTCATTAGAATGCATGGCCGCAGGGATGGAGACGCGCGGACGCGACCGTACGCGATCACACCGGCTTAGCCGCCTCGGCCGTCCCGCCGGCAGAGCCCAGGCCTCGGCACGCACGCCTGGGCGGTTTTGATATGCATTGAATACGCAAAGCGACTCGGAGATGGGCTCGGAGGCGACAGGGCGGAGCGAGAGGGCTGCTGGAGGGTGGTGACGCCACTCGAGCAGACAAGCCTGCGGCAGTGTGACAGGTTCGAGCCTGTTAGCTTTGCGACTCAGGCGTCGTGCGCATGCGTCCTTTTCCTTCCTATCTCGCCGGCGGCCCACGTCATGATCCCCTTATCTCCTTGGCTTACGCGACCAATTACGTGTTTCTGCCGGAGCTGAGCGCCGTATGTGCGTAATTCTGTCCCCGCTCCCGTCAGCATCCCGCATCTCTGCCGCATCGCTTCCGTCGAACCTCCACCTCTCTCCTCGTCACTGTCTGGTCACTGTCAAATGAGGGCCGTCCATGGAGGCACAGTAACGTTTCAGTTACCACCGGGAACCCGGGGGTCCACATCGCGGACCCAGGGCCCCACTTCGTCACTGAAGGCGATTTGACTTAGAATTCGGTGAGCTTTTTGGGCTCTGGTTCCCATTTTGATGTCTTGGAGAACCATTTTGCATGTTTTAGAAACCCCGCGGACGTCTTAAAACCAGGCGTTGACCGGTATATTCAACGGCACACTACTGACAAAGGTAGGACAAATTTACCCCCTTCCCCCACCCCTCTCTCTGCTCACTTCAAGAACGGCCGGGCCGAATTCAAAAGTTTAAATAGTACTCAGCAGCGACGTGGCGTGCGGTCAAACAGATACCTCAAAACAGACCTACGCCTCTCCGCTGCCCCGTCAGAGCGTCAACGCGGCAGACCTGAGCCTCGTCGCTGCTGTGGGCCCGTGCACATCTGGGCTCGGCCAATGTGCTTTGTGATGCATTTCAAGCCACTAATCAGTCATTGCCACAGGTAGCTACTTGAAACGTAGTACAGGCAGTTCTCATACTCGTATTCAGGCTACCTTCCTCCATTATGTGATAATTTTTAGTCTAAGGTCAAACATTTTTAGCGTGGATTTTACAAATAGCTTTATACTTTGGCATGCCAACATTTCAATGTGTAACATCGAAACAACACAACCGGGCGTGCCGCTTGGGAACTAATTGGCTCTTAAAACCCGTTCACGGACGTTGGAAATATTTTTCCGTTTCAGTCATATACCAATATGCGTACAGCAATGCACTTTTGCCAAAAGACAGCAAACATGACGTTACTCTGACGTCACTCGCGCTCGATCTGCCGCGGCCCTACAGTTGTTATTTTGGCCTAAAGCATATAGTGTGTCCATTAACAGCTGCTACAAATTTCGCGCCGGTTCTCGGCGCCTTTCTGAGATATCTCGAACATTCGATGGGAGGCGTGAATTTGATCACGCTGCTCCAGGCTAATGCTTGGTTAAGCTGCAAATAGGCACTGAGGTCTTCGGTCCAGGAGGCCCCATTACTTCCAGGCGGAGTGGGTTGGGGAATGGTCCCAAAAGTCCTTGGCTACACCACTCTCGTGGTTCCACATTACAGAATTATCACATAACACGCTTTTCCATGAAGTTACGTTTGTCCATGATCTGCAGCATGTTCAACTGGTTCACAAAATCCCACGTTTTTTTAAAGAAAGTTGCTATATCTTAAACAACATTAGTACTGATCAGGCGTAACAGCTTCTCATAAAAATGCTGCCCTCACGCCGACACCGCAAGACGGAGCAGGAATCTTTCACCAGTAAGTCTTCGTCAGAGAAGGCTTCTGAACGCATCGCGTGGCATTGTGCGCCTTTTCCTTCGATTTGGGCTGCGGGCCGGTGCGAGAAAGGCGCGGCGCCAGCATATCAATGCCGTTCCCAAGCACCAGGAAACAATCAGCAATCAAGAACAACAGGGCCGGCCGGCGTAGTGTCATCATCCGGCTTCGCACGCGCGGCCGACGGCGGGGCCTCACGCATACAAAGCTGCTGCACTCACTTCTGGAACTGGCCGAGGCAGTGGGCGGCCGTAGCAACGAACCGCTCGTTCAACAGAGCGCCGCCGCAGAACCAGCTGATGCGGCTCGGCCGCTGCTCGCCGATCAGCGCCTGTCGGGCGATGGGGGGGGGGGGGGACAAGTGTGAGAGCGGTGCGGCTGGAAGATGAGAGCTACGCCGCAGCTGCGCGCCGGACTGCCGTCTCCTCTCGTGGCCAGCCGCCGTAAATCACGGTCGGCCTAACGGCTTTGTGGTTCGAGATGTATGTTGGCGGCAGCGTTTTCAATCAGCAGTCGGACGTCGGGGCAGGAGAAAAGCGCCGTGAAATGGCTGGGTTTAGAATCGTTGCTTCGGTTGAGAACGTTGACAAGTTTCGTGAGGAGGCTACCGTCGTTGTCCGGGTACAGCGCGGTCGGATTGCAAGACGACTGCTGCGCTCGACATGCGGCAAGTGAGCAAAAAACGTGATGTCCAAAAGCAATTTAATCTCTGAACTTCTTCGAGTTGTTTGTGTTGCACGGCTCCACCAGCCGTCCAAAAACGTCGCAGGCCGGTCGACACGCTCGAGCGTCTTATTGTAATCTTACCAGAGACAGCGATTGATCGCGCTCATTATTTCTGTTGGCAACCACAACACGGGGTCTTAGGCTTGAGGTTGGCACAGCTGTAGCATCAGAGCGTGAGTGGATGCCGGGGGTGGCATTTAAATTTTGACCGGCAAAATTAAGGCTGAGAATGTGATGTTAACGTGGTGGATAACAAAACAGCTTTAAAACCAGCTTAAAAGAGCTTGCAATGCCAACAACACGTGTAGCTATTGTGCTGTGAACGTAATTAATCGGAAAATTCGAAAAAGATCAGATTAATGGGGTGTCCAGCGATGCTTGAAGCCGTATGGTTACGTCAGCACCACCGTTATCCCCAAGAAGCTATTGCATAACATATTGTAAACTACAGTATTTATAAGTGATATTATGTAACTAACTGAAATAATAACTGAAAGGACCTGGGAATGAATTAAGGATAAATAAACCCAAACGAACAGAGCAGAGCGTCAGGAGAATCTCTGACGTGCTTTGCCGGCTGTGACGATCTGTGCACAGCCACTATTCGACGTGGCACGCATCAGAAGTCCGACAGTCGGTGCAACTTACGATCCACGGCCAGCGACCGATGATGGCGTCCTGGCCTCCGGTGATGAACTGCACCTCGCCCAGCTGCTGGCTCACGCGCCGGCGGTACTCCTCCGAGAAGATCCCGAACGGGTCGTGTAGCGCTCGTCCGCCGGCACGGCGCGACGCCCCGCCGGCCGCGGGCGGCGGCTCCGTGTACGGCGCGAAGTCGGGGTCGTACTCGGCCGTGTCGTACTGACGAGCGTCGAAGCGGTCGAAGATGTGGTCGGGCGGCGAGGCGTGGGAGCGGTCGAGTGCCCGCCGCCGCCGCCGCCGCCGCAGCTCCAGCTCGTCGAAGTCGGCGCGCACCGTCGGGGTGACGAGGCCGCAGTCTGGCGGCGGGCAGCGGCGGGTCAGGGGTAGGAGGGCGGGCAGCCGCAGGTCAGCGGCAGGACGTCATGCCACCTGCCGTGTGACATGGCGCCAGTTTGGCGGCGAGCAGCCGCAGGTCAGGGGCAGGACGTCATGTAACCGGCCGTGTCGGCATCCACCCAGTCTACCCTCTCTAGTCTATACCCAGAGCCAGCTCAGCTAGCCAGGTAGAAGTTAGCGATCTGGGTAATTCGTCAAAGCCAGCATCATATTCCAAAGCAGGGGCGACGCTTGATGACTGTGACTGGAAAGACAGAGTGTCATGCAAGCCTAAATGTAGGTTACAGTTGCACAGCGCACTGTCAAAGGCGATGTTCATGTAGAGAGTAAATTTTGCGTTGAAATTGCCTGACTGAGCTTGAGGCGCTGAGTGCGAGCGTTAGCGTTACGACGTTTAGTCATATCTAATGTTTCTTTTATTTGAAATTAATGATGCGCCTTTCCTTCCGCTTAAATTTTGCATGCATCTTCACCGCGCTCCTAGCCTTACTTAAAGTTTTACCATGGCACAGGAAGTGGGCGGCTGGGAGGGAACTGGGATGAAACCCTCATGCAACTCTAGACAGGTTCAACCTCTGGAATAAATCGCATAGCCCTCTACCTTACTCCTTGAACAATGGCTAATTACATTGTCCCAAGCTTTCCTAGGTTCCTGTGCTCCACCGTTGCCCATCGTTCTCCGGTGAGAAATTAATTGTTTTAGCTTATGTTGTCGCCCACCAGATGGCCGTCCTTGACTATCGTTATAGCCGCAGCCTAGCGTAGATAAAATTAAGCCAGCTTTGTGCATTCCTTCCCAGGACTCGAGCTAGGGATGCCCAATGAATCAACAGGTTTACCATTATGGTCTTGCCCATGGTCAGAAATTTGAACAATAGTTTAATCCGCCTCCCCCCCCCCCCCTCCCCGAAGCGTCATGAGAGATTTCGGCGCTGATTGACCTTGTTAAACCCAATAACGACAGCCGCGGTCAGAGCAATGGTAGCTTATATTCAAAGGCAGACAGCAGCAGCCATCGCAACGCAGTCGTCCTTTTCTCGAACGCACAAATAAGCAAAACAAAAATACTGCTGACATTCAGGGCAGAGGCAAAGATGGTTTGACGGTTTCAGCCAGCTCGACTCCTCTGCACACGCTGCCAATGCGTACTAATTGTTCCAGGGCGCATCACGACAATCCAGCCTGCCTTTAGCCCAGTTCGCCAGCTGCGAGAGAACTCATGTGGAGGCTGTCACTGGTGTAGCCGCGACTTGCCTGTAACATGTAGGTGCCTTTTCCTGCTCACACGCGCTTGAGAAGTTCAGCCAGCAACTGAACACCGGTAGGTGTCTTACATCACGCCAGACTAAAGCCCACCACATCACCTGTCTCACATCACGCCAGACTAAAGCCCACCACATCACCTGTCTCACATCACGCCAGACTAAAGCCCACCACATCACCTGTCTCACATCACGCCAGACTGAAGCCCACCACATCACCTGTCTCACATCACGCCAGACTAAAGCCCACCACACCACCTGTCTCACATCACGCACAGACTAAAGCCACCACATCACCTGTCTCACATCCACGCCAGACTAAAGCCCAACCACATCACCTGTCTCACATCACGCCAGGCTGAAGCCCACCACATCACTTGTCTCACATCACGCCAGACTGAAGCCCACCACATCACCTGTCTCACATCACGCCAGACTAAAGCCCACCACATCACCTGCCTCACATCACGCCAGACTAGAGCCTACCACATCACCTGTCCCGCATCACGCCAGACTGAAGCCCACCACATCCCCTGTCTCACATCACGCCAGACTAGAGCCCACCACATCACCTGCCTCTCTGCAGCTTACACGTACTACAACTCACCTTAGTTTGGAAATAGCATTTTTTCCAGATGCACCCAGGCGCACGTAGATGCTTAGCATAACTCGTATTACTTCACTTTGGTTGTCAAAGTCGGCACAACTCTCTGTAATTCCATTTGTCCTAAACGTTTGCAAGAAAGTTAAGAAGCCCTGGGAGTTACCACTATTGGGATAGCATCTCAGTTTGGGCAGAACTATGAGTACCCTTAGGGAATGAATAGCTTATTGGGTTGGATACAGATTTGGTGAAAGCTAAGTGTAGGGGCACGGCTAATGGCAATGCGTTTAAGAAATGTCGGGCTGATTTCTCACAATACCATACAGAGTTAAAGGCTACAGTTTTTTTAGTAATGACTAGCTCTATGCACACTGCTTTTGCAATGATAAAAGCAAAAGAGCAGGTTGGGTTATACACTTTCCAGAAACTCTTGCCCAATTTAGCACGTAAGAAACACGCATACGAGTGGGTAACGGGTGGATCAAACTGATAAGGAAAACATAGACGGTGTTGTGGATACAGTCCCATGGGAAGAGCTATGGTTTGAATAAAGGAATTTTGATCTGTGAAGGCCTCTACCCTAAATGCAAATGATTCAGTGTGAAGCAGGCATTAACCCACGCTCAGGTGGGGAAAATTTGACCTTCGATTGTGTTTTCCAGAATCGTCCACGCCAAACCTTATAAGGCTATAACCAATCAAAAAATCGATTGGCATAAAAGCACCTTAAAAGCTCTTTGAACTATGGTAGGACAGAGTCAGTCCATGACTGTTAGCTGAGGCAACCCTCCGCCCCCCCCCCCTCCCCCCCAAAAAAACAACTAAATCACTCTTGTACTGCGGAGCTGGACAAAAAGGGTAGTTTCCGACGCTCACTTTGAATATCATAATCACGGGAATATCAGGCTTACTACATCCATCAGACATCCTATTTAATTGTTATGAAGGTCAGGGGAGGTCACTGGCCTGAAATGACCCGAGAAAACCTTTGGGTTTTGGAAACAACCACCAATCGCAGTCTTTCATGCTAATCTGACTCAAAGATAAAACCAATCTTGCGGGCTTTTGGTATTCTTGGCCTTTTGAAGGCCAAATAAGGTCACTGAACTGACATAATCACCTGTGACTTTTACTTAGAAGAGATATTTAGGTTACAGGTGGTTGCATGAGGGGGTCTGAGTACACCTTAGATATAAATCCGGTGTTTCGCCTCGTTTGACCTTACTTTGCCAGAACTTCACGGCCTAGTGACCTCAACATTTGGTGCAAGTTCACTTATGAGCCTGCGTGCCCAATCAAGCTAGTATTTCTGTCTCACTTAGCTTTTGAGGTATCACAGGGTCAAATTGCTCCCCAGCCCCTCCCACTCGAGTGCGTCGCGTTCAACCGGCCACCCGGGCGCGTGTAGAATTGATCACGGCACCAATGTGAACAATCAGACGCCCCCACCAGATTGCTGCCTTTGTATGAGCATTCGATGGTATTCAGTGGTCTTGGCAGGAATGACCTACCCTAGCATCGCCGTTGCATGGTCGAACACCGGGTGATTATTGCACGCCGCTATGCCGTGACTGCTACGCATTTGCTCCAAACTTAGCAACTTAGACTAGCAACAGTACATTTCTACCAAGAGCCATGGGAACACAACAGATAAATGACACTGACTTAAATATTTTTTTTAAATAAGCAGTTCTGAACCCTTGCCTTCCCACCATAGACTTGCTCATCTCTCATCTATGGCTGGAGACATCATGGGTGTAATCTTGGTTTCACATAAATGCAGGTTTTTCCCTGCCCTGAAAGCACACAGTTTCCGAGGCAGTGCATGGCTGTAATGTAGGTGCATACGCAGAATTTTGCAACGTTAAGCACAACTAACTTTTTTACTGGAATCCCAGCTAGGCACATTAAATCTCTAGCAATCAACACTTCACGTTCATGATTTATTTAGGTTTACGTGTCTATCTCGAATATTACATAATCAACGATTAGTCACGCACGTACCCACGCCTTACATAAAGAACAGCTGACGCCACGTTCTAACAACTTAGATAGGGGAGCACATTCTCCCGGTCATTACTACTACTAAGCTCCTGCTATTAAGAGATTTATCGAACCTTACCCAAGACACTCCGATTCCGTTTATTACTTGAGTGAGGCGAAATATGTGATCTCAACAAGGTCACCAATCAAACCCATGTCATCAAATCAAATGTCATCATCAGGTCATGAAAAACTGAAATGTCAACACTTTTGCACTGCATCGTTCAGCTGACGGGGACACAGCGTTTTAGCCTTGTGCTGCAATGTACACACTTGTCTTCCATAGGATCGATGTTCAAGCAAAGCTTTACTTGAATATCGCATCACAAAGAGTGAACGACAGCCAAAAAACGGACCCGCGCCAATCGGGAGTACCTGCCTCTTGTTTCCCATTTATTTACACCACGTTTTTAGAGGCGCCCATTCCCGCCGCGGTACATCAACATCATTGATTTTGCCCTCGCCTTGTGCCGCTGACCATACCACCAGCCGACCAGCGTCAGCTGCCCTCCGAGTGCGTCAGTTTTAGCCCGACTGTGAGCATTCCCACGGCCTACAAGCCATCTGACGCTGCGCGCGCGGAAGCTTATGCAGTCCTTTGTTGATTATTCGAATTAGGGCCCTTTGTCTGTCGGTCGAGCGAGCTGTTTGCACAGGCATTCTCGTGCGGCAGTGCCGCGGCGCTGCCAGTCACGCATGAACCGCTCCACAAACAGGTTGCTCCGGGAAAACGCTTTGGGAAACGCCAGCCGAGCGCCGGCGAAGCGCAGAAAATGCAGATAATTGCAGGGCAGCCAGTCACCAGACGCACAGAAAACAACAATCGACGCAGAACAACGCTGGGAAACGTCGGCAGGGAGAGAAATGTACATCCGGAGGCAAGGGAAATAAAAGACGTGTCAGAACAGCAGCGGATAAGTCAGGACGACTTTGAGTCGTAGGCAGACTCACACTGTTAAACCAGTGAAGACGAAGACGATTCGCTATTTTCGCCTCATGTTTTGTTGCGAAAAGCTATATTATTTATACATGCGGGACAATTTTTGCCAGATTCACCTGACAAAGTAATCATTCTGTAATGAAGTTTTAAAGGAAGTATTCCAAACATTTATATGCTTCGCTCGTATTTGAATCACGTGCGTCCGAGTTCATAAGTTATAGCAGTTCCCCTGGAAATCTTTCTGAAGCATCGGAAGCTTTTTGTGGGGCTGACATCTCCTACGAGTCCTCTTCCGCCACGCCAATATCAGCTCCGAGCTTTGGGCTGTCTGTCGCAAAGGAGACGAGTTGGCGGCCATTGAGAGCAGCGCTGGCAGAGAGAAAGCAAAGTAATCACGCCAGATTGTGTTTTGCGGCAACTCGTTACTGATGATAAGACGGTTAGACGATGTGGCAGAGACCGGCTTTACACGGGGGCCTGCCCGTTTGTCGTGCGCAACTTTCGCCGTATGTGTGCGCAGAATTACACTTTTTCGTTCCAAGCAATGCGCTAGCGATTGTTGGCAAATATGTTGGGGCGTCAGCTGAACATTAACGTGAGCTGGAACTGCGACCCCAAGCAAAGCACGATGGAGCAAAGGCAATGGCGGTGTTTCGGATGAAAGACAGAACTCGTGAACACCCAATGCAAAAAGCCAACAGATTGGCGCTAACTTTCAGCACCACTTGGGCGATCAATGCCAGCACCGCGCTTGTCTCTTCAGTGCACGGAATGCAACATCTGGCACTAGTGGAGCACTTAGTGCAAACGCTTTCTGCTCATATCCATTGAACCCGAAATGCGCTTTTAGGATGTCCAACATTCCGGGTGATAATGGATACAAAGCCAACGCTGTTCGGCGTCGTAAAAACTAATGCACCAAACGAGCTGAGTTTGCAGTTTTGCTCATGTTCCATTAAAAAAAAACGATCTCCCATCCACCAAATGCCCCCCCCCCCCCCATAATGGCAGCGAATGACTGTAACGCCAGACGGGGGGCTGAATACCCATATCGCCAGCCTGACCAGTGTCTGCGCCACAAATCGCGTGGATCGCTATGAATCTTGTGTATGCCATACTCGATGACCTTCCGCGGGCCTTTCAGGTCACGCATGTGTGCGTTGTATGTGCATACACGACAGGCGTTCCATTTTGAGGCATGCCAGCACAGCA